TGGAGTGGCGAACCACATAAGACCCCGATAGGTCAGGCGTGGTATAGAACCGGGCGACAGCAAAGCTGTCTACCACCAAATTTAGGTGGCGGATGCCCTATATCCTTGTTCCTCTTCAACTCTGCCACAGAGGATGTTCTTCAGAATGCTGTGTCCGATCTAGAAAACAGTAGAGTCGAACTTCGCCCAGGGAACAGAGTATGCAGCATACGACGTATGCTGGCCGCAGCGGAAGAGGTAGGAATTCGGCTGCACAACCCTTCTGTGTGTCCAAAAACAATTTGTACAGGCACTTAAGCTCCTGTGTCCCACTTCCCACACATCCCATATCCCGAGTGGTTCCAAAGATCGGATGACCTAACAATCATGTGATCATTAAGAATCCCACGTCCGGTGCTAAGACAAAATTAGCTCCAGTTAACCTATCACGGTATTTTCTCTTTCCCAAAACAATTGATTGGATTTTTTCATGTTTGAATATCACTACATATATAAACAGAGTGATATTCATTGTGATGTATTTGGCATGACTACGAAAGACTAAAGACGAGTTTGTTCGCCACTCCTTGTTCTTTTTGAAATGTGTTCTGTGGGATTGTTGAGACAATATATATATATATATATTTCATAATAATATGTATGTGAATGAATGGAAAAACTTTCCCTGGAAGCTTCCAGGGGCCTTCAAATTTGGTCGCGCTTTTGTTATTCACCTTTCGGAGTGCACTTGGCATATGACGGACCAGTAGCTGAATTTCAGCGAATTTTGTACGATTGAGACAAACTACTCATAAATTAGCAAGTAGTTATACAACAAATAGTGATAGTGGGTAGGAACATACGTATGGCAGCCGGACAGAAACGATCCGGATCTTCTTGGATCAGCCGTTGCATCAGTTGATGACGTCCCACGTGTGCCGGACCAACAAATATCAATGGTCGCCGGCGCAAAGGTTGTGGTAAATACTGAGCTACCGGTTCATAGGTCCACAGACTAGGATGTCGCATGAAACCGTGCTTGACTTCCTGATCAAGCCACGCGACTGGATCTTCCTCATTTTGGAGAGAAGCATCCGGGACTAGAAAAGTCCACAAGAACAGAAGAACGGGGACGAGGGGATAGAAAAAAACAAACAAAGAACAACAAAGATTTGATATGGAGAAGAATAGACAGAATGTCGATTAGGAANAATGCACGTTGACACCCACAAGAATAGCAATCTATCGAAAGCTTTTGAAATCCCCGAACATCAAGCGTTAGTACATATATATTCGTGGGAAAAATGATGGTAAACAATTAGACAGCTTCTAATAGCGAATAAGAGAGTGGAAAGAAATATTACTTTTGCCACTGAAGCTTACCTAAAAACCGAGCAGTCAGAACCTGCGGTTACGTTCCTATTGGTGTGCTGTATGTTTACTTCTGAAACGAGCCAGTCTCGGCGAAAAGAAGCCCGAGAACCTACACAAAACTTAAGCGTGCAAACTGGATCATACGACGACAACAATATTATGGTTCCGCTTTTAGTCAACGCGCCCAGGACAGGTGTAGCATTCAGCAACCGGACGTCAAAGAATAAACGCTTCACGCCGGTTCACCTCATGTGAAAGTGCTTCAATCGATACGTTAACGATTTCCACCAAAGAGATTTGGGTTTAACTTATGTTACCCGAATGGGGTAAGTCCCAATGTAGTAAAAAACAAATAGGACACATTAAGGCCGAGTTGACGGGGCTAAGTGAGCCGTTCAATCAATCGATCTATTTAATTCATTTCCGAAATAGCGAAGCATTTACAAGATCATGTTCACGGACAGTTACCCATTTGTTTCTGTATGCACATTTATATGAAAATAGATCACGGCCTTGGAAATATCGATCGCCTCTACATTGTCTGTTAGGTTGATTTCATTTACTATCTAGTTCGATTTGGCAGACCGAGAAACCATGGTACAGAGCCCGCATATGCAGAAAAATTTGCATAACCCAGAAGACACATACCAACGAGGAGTTTGAGCGAGTGACAGCTCATTTCAAGGTCAAGATAGGACGCTTAGCGAAAGAGCGCTCGTGCTACAAAACTGTGTGTGTATGGATGAGGAAGAGATCAGAGGTGGCCGTGACGGAAACGGCTGTATAGCTAAGTGAGAGCTACACAATAAGCTGTGTGCAAGCGGAAAATACGCACAAGCTGAATATAGACATGCAGGTACGATAGGGGATGAGAACAAGATGACACATAAAAAGCATTACCCGAGCACACTCGTCTCGAGGACAGATGAATTCTATTGGGTTAGGTCCACCGGGTTAGTAAGCACTGGTTGAAATTAAGAGATAAAAGTTAAGTTCACATTAACCGATCCTGTTGTACGAAAGTATTTATACAGCAGGGCTAATGCCTCGGCGCTGGCGATGTGGCCCATTACATATAATACCTATTCATTCCCTTTTCCAGTTATCGGATCGAGATTGTGATATCCGGAACATTATCATTATATCGATTTTTCATTACACAGAAGTGTGTGATGAGTAACAGAAGCACATTATAATGAGAACCAAATACTAACCGGAAACCGATCCGTATATGTATATAATATATATATATATATGTATATATTACACACGCCTAACTCCAGACTATATGCCAAATAAATCAAGATACTACAATCTTTATAACAAAGAATAAGTTCTATGATTAGCTCATGGGGAGAATACTGTTAAGCCAAAGCATGCGAATTTCCTTGGGGAATTCACGACCGCAGGCTTTAACTAGACAAAGTTTGACGTACAAGACAGTAGGGTGATGTGAAAATCGCAATCTATTTGGGGCCGGTGTCCAGTTTATCGGATTATACGCCCTATGGACAGCCACTTGTTCAGTCATTTTTGCACGAGGAGTTGATATAAAGGATTACCTCGAGAGCTACACAGATTTGTCTGTTTTGGTTTCTCTTGGATGTTCCTATCGGTTCCCTCGTCGACTGAGACCAATTTGGAGCAAATTCTTCTTGTGCTTGAGATCAGACAACCAAAGAGGAGAAATTTCAGTTTCAAAAAGTTTGGAAAATTGGTTGCACCGATTATTCCATGTTAAATTTCTGTGCACGCCTTTCCTACGTCATCCCTCATTTTCTCCCTTTATATTCGCCCTCCATTCAAATATATCAAGCTTTCAGATCACGTGAACAGACAAGTGAAACGCGATAAAATAAACCCTCAAACGAAACCTAATCACCATGAAATTTTACGAGTACATAACCACTCATAAACACATCCCCCGAAAGACAATTTACTTGAACTGGACACGTCTAAACATTTTTTTTCTACTGTGTTTGTAATGCAACATGTATTCACCAAACGGCGAGGCAACTGTCGCAGAGAATTGAAAAGCACTGTCCACGTTGATCGATGGTGGAGTAGTAACGAGAGCAACAGTTGTCTACCTGTCTTTGAGTGAAAACTGAATCCATCTTTTGTATCCTCTATAGACTGCTCCTTTACTCCTCCGAAGTACTTCGACTGCAGATACTAACCATTGCCGAAGAGACAAGAATTTACCTATGCACACGAACACACCACATTTATGATTACAGAAACCGCGGGCTCACGCAGTGTAACTGTCGTGGTCACGAACCAGCCGTACACTGCGATCACCCAAGTGGAGTGATGTGTGGATTCACGATA